GTGTCAAGACCCTTCGATCTTGGCTGGAACTTAACTCGCTCACCATTACACTAACACAGTGACTCTCTCTCTCTCTCTCTCTCTCTCTCTCTCTCTCTCTCTCTCTCTCCCTTCCTTTCTATCAGTTCCAGTAATTGGTGCCACGCTTCTCTTTGAAGTTCTCTCTCGGTCTCGCTCTGAGCCCGTCGGTCTGTCATTGTTGTTTGCTGTGTTGAGGTCGTTGGTGTGTGTGTTACATCATGGCTGAGGCAGGTCGCTCTGACCTCATGTTGACTCTGGCGCTCTGCCAGGTGGCTAATAAGCTGAAATGTCAGCCATTGCCTGTGATCCACTCGGGTATATTTAGAAAAAGAAAGTTCCAGCTACGTTGAATAAGAAGCTTGTGGAAAAATAAAGGAGTATGAGAAGGGACAGTGTGACAGGTACCGACGCTGTGTCTTTTCAATGCACAAATGCATGCACAAATACCAACACACCAACTTATTTTATTCAAGCTTCTCCCTCAGGGCAAACGTTCCAAATAAGTCAAGTCAAATAAGCCTGCAAAAAAATATGTCAAATGCTTACACAAATCACAGAAACTCTGCTCTCTTCTTTAACTTTAACTACGAGAAGTATGAATTTTTGTTGCGGTTATTGGTATAGTAGCGAAAATTGAGATTATTTTAAGTATCGCGCTACTGGAATTCACTGTACACTGTTAGAAATAAAGGTTCTGTGCAAGTACATTTTTTCGTTCATCAAGGTACCAACAATGTAAATGTGCCCTCAAAGGTACAACAGTGGTTTTAAGATCCAACTGTGAACCTTAAATAAGTTTTTCCAGGTAAAAGGTTCGTATTTGTACCTTTTCATAACCGAATGTTTTAAAACAGAACAGTGAAATAAAAGCCTGGAGACGAGACGGGGTGTGTGGAGTCAGTACAAATTAGAAAATATCATTTCAGTGGATTATGGTACAGTTATGTTGCCTGACTAAAGGTACTGAGATGTACCCTTGAGGGTCCCACCCCAGTGACAGCAGGGGGACTGCCCCAGTGACCGTTTTGTACCTTTATTTCTGAGAGTGTAGAGTACACTGTATGTTCAAAGTTTGCAGACAGCAGCTCCTCCAGCATTTCTTCTGAAATCAGGGGTGTTAATAAACAGGAAGTTTTCCCCCTTTTCTGCAGTAATAGACTCTGGGAAGGCTTTGCTGTGGCAGCCGCAAGAGCATTAGTGAGGTCAGATACTGATTTTGGGTGATCAGTTCTGGATCTCCGACTCATCCCGAAGGTATTGGATGGAGCTTTATCACTCCAGAGAATGCAGTTCCACTGCTCCACAGCCCAAAGCTGGGGGGCTTTATACCCATCTAGCTGATGCTAGGCATGGGGCATGGTGACCTACGTATCATTTGCTGCTGTTTCAGAGCATCCCATTCTATTGGTCGGTGCTTTTCTCTGGAGATAATGAAAGCTTTGTGTGCTGTGGTTGCACCTCAAAGTAGGTGTGTTCACTAATTGGACAGGTGTCTATATACTTTTGGACATAGTGTAGCATTAGCACCGAAGGTTATGTAGTTAAATCTTTAAAATCTCCAGAGATTCAGAACTTTTACAAAAAACGTTTACTTCAAGGTTCCTTCTGGCAAGTCCTTGACCTCTCCAGCATGGTCTGAGTAGTTAATGCAATGTTACGTCTTTTGTGTAATTTGTTTTTCAGATATTACCAAAAGGGACCTTCATTAGGAAGTGTTCCCTGGAGCAGTGTCATATTAAAATGGATCACTGGAGTGATGCCACAGATGAACCACTAGAATTTTCCTAAAGAAACTTTCAGTTGAATGGTTTCAGTTGAGTTGCTTCAACTGAATATTGACTGAAATTTTCCTTAGGAGACCAAACAGTGTTCTTCTATAGCATCTCAACAAAACCTCTCCAAAGAGTTTGGTATCTTTCTAAAGAACCGTGACTGAAAAACAGATTTGTGTGTGTGAAAAAAAGACATAAAATGTAAGATTTATTTTCCAATTTCAGAGTTTTTCCAAAAACATTTACATTATGTGGCAGTTCTTCAAACTTCCAAAAGGTTCTTCATACTCACATGTCTCATCAAGAAAACCTTCACTGAAAGGTTCTGTAGGGAATCAAAAGTGTTTTTATTTAAAAGAGTGTAGGACTTTATGACATTGATGGTTGATTGCTGTGTGGCTTTGATGGTTGATTGTTGTGTGGCTTTGATGGTTGATTGTTGTGTGGTTGAGGGTTGATTGTTGTGTGGCTTTGATGGTTGATTGTTGTGTGGTTGAGGGTTGATTGTTGTGTGGCTTTGATGGTTGATTGTTGTGTGGTTTTGATGGTTGATTGTTGTGTGGCTTTGATGGTTGATTGCTGTGTGGCTTTGATGGTTGATTGTTGTGTGGTTGAGGATTGATTGCTGTGTGGCTTTGATGGTTGATTGTTGTGTGGCGTTGAGGGTTGATTGCTGTGTGGCTTTGATGGTTGATTGTTGTGTGGCTTTGATGGTTGATTGTTGTGTGGCGTTGATGGTTGATTGCTATGTGGCTTTGATGGTTGATTGTTGTGTGGTTGATGGTTGATTGCTGTGTGGCTTTGATGGTTGATTGTTGTGTGGTTGAGGGTTGATTGTTGTGTGGCTTTGATGGTTGATTGCTGTGTGGCTTTGATGGTTGATTGTTGTGTGGCTTTGATGGTTGATTGTTGTGTGGTTGAGGGTTGATTGCTGTGTGGCTTTGATGGTTGATTGTTGTGAGGCGTTGATGGTTGATTGTTGTGTGGTTGAGGGTTGATTGTTGTGTGGTTGAGGGTTGATTGTTGTGTGGCTTTGATGGTTGATTGTTGTGTGGTTGAGGGTTGATTGTGTGTGGTTGAGGGTTGATTGTTGTGTGGCTTTGATGGTTGATTGTTGTGTGGTTGAGGGTTGATTGTTGTGTGGCGTTGATGGTTGATTGCTGTGTGGCTTTGATGGTTGATTGTTGTGTGGCGTTGATGGTTGATTGTTGTGTGGTTTTGATGGTTGATTGTTGTGTGGCGTTGATGGTGATTGTTGTGTGGCTTTGATGGTTGATTGTTGTGTGGTTGAGGGTTGATTGCTGTGTGGCTTTGATGGTTGATTGTTGTGTGGCGTTGAGGGTTGATTGCTGTGTGGCTTTGATGGTTGATTGTTGTGTGGCTTTGATGGTTGATTGTTGTGTGGCGTTGATGGTTGATTGCTATGTGGCTTTGATGGTTGATTGTTGTGTGGTTGATGGTTGATTGCTGTGTGGCTTTGATGGTTGATTGTTGTGTGGTTGAGGGTTGATGTTGTGGGCTTGATGTTGATGCTGTGTGGCTTTGATGGTTGATTGTTGTGTGGCTTTGATGGTTGATTGTTGTGTGGTTGAGGGTTGATTGCTGTGTGGCTTTGATGGTTGATTGTTGTGAGGCGTTGATGGTTGATTGTTGTGTGGTTGAGGGTTGATTGTTGTGTGGTTGAGGGTTGATTGTTGTGTGGCTTTGATGGTTGATTGTTGTGTGGTTGAGGGTTGATTGTTGTGTGGTTGAGGGTTGATTGTTGTGTGGCTTTGATGGTTGATTGTTGTGTGGTTGAGGGTTGATTGTTGTGTGGCGTTGATGGTTGATTGCTGTGTGGCTTTGATGGTTGATTGTTGTGTGGCGTTGATGGTTGATTGTTGTGTGGTTTTGATGGTTGATTGTTGTGTGGCGTTGATGGTTGATTGTTGTGTGGCTTTGATGGTTGATTGTTGTGTGGTTGAGGGTTGATTGCTGTGTGGCTTTGATGGTTGATTGTTGTGTGGCTTTGATGGTTGATTGTTGTGTGGTTGAGGGTTGATTGCTGTGTGGCTTTGATGGTTGATTGTTGTGTGGCTTTGATGGTTGATTGCTGTGTGGCTTTGATGGTTGATTGTTGTGTGGTTGAGGGTTGATTGCTGTGTGGCTTTGATGGTTGATTGTTGTGTGGCTTTGATGGTTGATTGTTGTGTGGCGTTGATGGTTGATTGCTGTGTGGCTTTGATGGTTGATTGTTGTGTGGCGTTGAGGGTTGATTGCTGTGTGGCTTTGATGGTTGATTGTTGTGTGGTTGAGGGTTGATTGTTGTGTGGCTTTGATGGTTGATTGTTGTGTGGTTGAGGGTTGATTGTTGTGTGGCTTTGATGGTTGATTGTTGTGTGGTTGAGGGTTGATTGCTGTGGCTTTGATGGTTGATTGTTGTGTGGTTGAGGGTTGATTGTTGTGTGGTGCTGGGGGTTGATTGTTGTGTGGCTTTGATGGTTGATTGTTGTGTGGTTGAGGGTTGATTGCTGTGGCTTTGATGGTTGATTGTTGTGTGGTTGAGGGTTGATTGCTGTGTGGCTTTGATGGTTGATTGTTGTGTGGCTTTGATGGTTGATTGTTGTGTGGCTTTGATGGTTGTTTGTTGTGTGGTTGAGGGTTGATTGTTGTGTGGCTTTGATGGTTGATTGTTGTGTGGTTGAGGGTTGATTGTTGTGTGGTTGAGGGTTGATTGTTGTGTGGCTTTGATGGTTGATTGTTGTGTGGTTGAGGGTTGATTGTTGTGGTGTTGTCGGTTGACTGTGGTGTGGATTTGAGGGCTGATTGTTGTGTGGATCTGATGATTTGATCGTTATTGCGTGTTGAGGTTTTGATGACTGTTGTGTGGACTTGATAATTGATTGTTGGGTGGTTTTAATGATTGTTATGTGGCATTGATGGCTGATTGTTGTGTGGCTTTGATGAATTGAGTAGCTTTGATGGCTGATTGTCATGTGGATTTGATAGCTGATTGTTGTGTGTATCTGATGGCTGATTGTTGTGTGGATTTGATCATTTGATGACTGACTGGTGTGGCTTTAGTAGTTTAGTGTTGAATACTATCTTGTTAATTAATGGGTCTGTTTCACAGTTTCCTCAGCTTCAACCTCTTCAGCGTGATAATGTTTGGAGTTCTGATTTGTGTATGTCTGTGTATATGTGTGTGTGTGGTTCTCTGATTTCCAGTGCCGTATCCTTCCTCTCTCCACAATGAGCCTCGGGGCACGGCGGAGCCCGTGTCCAACCTGCGCGCCAGCCATTACAGTCCAGTCTTTTATCTTCTGGACAATGGTAAGCTCTAGAACACCTGGACCGGCCTCACCGCTCACGCGCTCATCTGCCAGCGTGTGTGTGTGTGTGTGTGTTTGCGTGGGATGGTTGTAAGCATGCTGCTGTAGGATTAGCCTCACGCTCGTAGTGCCTCTTGCCTAGCTGTGCCTAGTTGCTAGCGCTCCTCACCACTTCTTCTGGCCTTGAGGTGTCAGGTGTGGGTGTGTGTGTGTGTGTGTGTGTGTGTGTGTGTGTGTGTGTGTGTCTGTGTGTGTGTGTGAGGGTGATGAGTGGCTGCTTTCACACACATCACTATGTGAGAGCACTGGGAGAAACGAGGGAAAAAGGTTTGAACTGAGTTTGAACTGTCAAAAATTGACCTACCCAAGTTCTGCCCTCTGTGTGTTCCTTCATAGCAACTGTTGCTACATTGAACAAGCTTTACAAGACACTGTCAAAAATTCTCCCATTCGGCCAAGTGATAAACTGTGTGATGTATTGTTGAAGGTTTGAAATGGACTGTTCAGTGTATATCCAGTATATGTTCAGAGTCCATACATGGAAGCTAAAACGCAAAAGCAAACCGTTTTGAATTCACAATTTTTGTGATGTCACAAGAACCAATGCATTTACATATATCTGCCTATTCAGCCTACAGAAGTTTAGCTCCGCCCATTCACTTTGTTATTTTGACTTTGTGTGTTTTGGACTGATTTTTGAATGAGGTACAAATATATGGCAGCCAATCAGAACAAAAAATAATTTACACATATCAGTCTTAAAGCCACAGTATCCTACACAAGTAGCTATTGTAACATGGCTAAAGTTAGTGATCGTTGCCAACATTTTCCTTGTTATACTTACCATACAGTTGTATGCAAAAGTTTGTGCACCCTGTTTCGTTGATATTCAACAAATAAAAGTGCAAATAAGTGAACACATCCTCTATACAGAACACACTTCTGCACATTTTAATAAACAGTTACTGTTTATTTGCTGAATTTAACATACATTCTCAGAAATAAGGGATGAAACTGTTGCTGTGCCCCTCTTGTCACTGGGGTGGGACCCTCAAGGGTTCATCTCAGTACCTTTAGTCAGAGAGCATAACTACCATAGTCTATTGAAATCATATTTTCTAAGTTGTATTGACTCCACACCCCGCCTCGCCTCCAGGCTTTTTATTTTATTGCTCTGTTTTAAAACATTAGGTACAAAAATACACCTTTCCCCTGGGAAAAACTTATTTAAGTTGCACAATTGGACCTTAAAACCACTGTTCTACCTTTGAGGGTACATTTACATTATTTGTACCTTGATGAATGAAAAATGTACCTGCACAATACCTTTTATTTCGTGTTATGGAAAAAATAAAAAAAAAAGTGACTGGAAAATATTGTACAAAAGTTATGGCACATTATATATTTTATTTTTGTTTGTTTTTACAAAATAGAAATAAATAGAAATCACTAACTAGAATTTTCAGAAAAATGCCTGTAGAGGATGTCTTAACTTTTTATTTAGAAAATCAAAAAAGCATGTCATTTGAGCAGAATCTTTAAAAAACGACTTTTAAAAAAACTTTTAAAAAAAATTTAATTGCTGCAGTTTCTCATTTGGTTATAAGTGGTATTTTACCAGTGTTCTGTCAAGCTTGTTCAAACTACCCATAATAGCTATTTAGGAAAACATTTGTGGGCGGAGCATTGAGAGGTCCTTTAGCAGTGAACTGAAACACAGAGGCCAAATTATTGCTGCATTCGACTTAACTCAGAAGCGGGAAGTTGGAGGTCATTGATGTTTGATTTAGATTTAAAGAAGGTAAAAAGCTGGCTGTGAACAGGAAAATCAATATGTGATATTATATATCTATAAATAAAACAAATAATGGTGGCATCACCTTAGTTACCTAATGTCAGGCAGATTACGTGTACGGCGACAGTGTTGATCAGTATGTTCTGATGTTTTCCGTAGCATCAGTGATATTACTGCTCAAACACTGGAGTAATTAAACATTGCTATTAAATAACTTTAATATTAATGGCAGAAACATAAAAATGCAGAGTTAAGTCACGTGATACGACCAAAAGACAATGAGGTATAACTATGTTAACTTTACTCCCAACCTGCCCAACGTTGACTATATTCTAGTAAACGTTAGACAGCTAATGTTAGCTGACCTCACTGTAACTTGTCATGAGATTGTTAAGCTACGTTTTTAGGCATGAAGGTAATTCAAAAAGTTTGCTCCTCTCTGAAAATGGAAAAGCAAGACTGCCTCTGCTATTTTCTCTACTATGATGACTTCTGCTGCGTCGATTGCAGAATTGTGAAAAGGATCTATTCATAGCCTCATTCACTAGCGTCTCTCTGCATGCATTATACAATAGATTTAGCACATTAGCATCCCCAGTAGTGATGAATCTATTTTATGTGGCTGTCAGCATATTGAACAATGAATAATGCTTTTTATATCTTGGTATCAGTTTCATTCTGGTCTCCTCTGGGTTCGCAGCCACAGTTAAAAGTCTATTAATGTCAGTTTCTTCATGTTTGGACTAAGAATAAGTTACGGACATTTTAATGGCAAGAATTAAAACTTAAATTTAAAAAATAATATACAATAATACCAATTTCATTTAACATAATATAATAAAGGGGTGGATTTGAGCAGTTAGGCTGCTCACTCCGCCTCCTTACTCTTCACGTTGTTGCGGCCTGGTCCGTTGCCCGGTACTGATCCCTCGGTAGATGGGAACCTCTGATCTAAATCTCATTTAAAAGTACAGACGTGCTGTTTATTTGCTGATGATGGTGTGAACAGCCATGCTATCACATCGTACGCTGAGTTTGGAGCACCTTCCCTGCTTTCCGAGTAGGAAATCCCAGTTGAGGGTGCGTTTTCTTTGATTTTTCCTGGTCAGAAATTGAGTTTAGTCGAATGCAGCATATGGCCTAAAAGTTTGAGGAGATCCAAAGAGAGAGAGAGAGAGAGAGATAAAGAAGATGTGAGAGAGAGAGAGACATGTTGGAGTATTTTGCAGGTTTGTTTGTAGAAGCTTCTCTCATCTGCCTGCTCTTCTTTAGCTCCTCATCCACGCTAATGAGTGTGCACATGCGAGTGTGCGAGTGTGCGCGTGAGCTGCTGAACAGGAAGCTGTTGACTTGCGCTTTTGTTTTGCAGATTGCTTGTGTTGGAATGACTTTTGCATCAGCTAATTAAGCCTCAGAATTAGCTGGCCAGCTCATCAACCAGCACATTAGCAAGAGGCGGCTTAACCTTAGCAGCCCCGATGATTAGCACATGACAAGCCTGAGAGCTTTCTTCTTTCACTGGCCAATCCATACCGGTGCACTTGTTTAGGCAAATGAAGGTATTTAGACTGAACAATTCTCGAACAGGGAAAACACAAATTTTATCACTTTTTTATTTATAACAGTTTGAAAAGTTTCAAAACAGTCTACAGCCCAGTCCATACAAACATACCAGTCCATACAGACTATATATAGACTAAGCTCCAAAAAACAGCCTATTTAGAATGAATTGTTTTTGTGATGCTACAAAAACCAACACGTTTATATTTATTTATGAATTTCATTGCAATGGTCTAGCAACACCCTAGCAACCAACTGGAATTCCATAGCAATGGTCTAGCAACACCCTAGCAACCACCTGGAATTCCATAGCAATGGTCTAGCAACACCCTAGCAACCACCTGGAATTCCATAGCAATGGTCTAGCAACACCCTAGCAACCACATGAAATTTCATAACAATGGTCTAGCAACACCCTAGCAACCACCTGTGATACCATAGCAATGGTCTGGCAACACCCCAACAAACACCTTGAATTCCATAGCAATGGTCTAGGAACACCATAGCAACCACCTGGAATTCCATAGCAATGGTCTAGCAACACCCTAGCAACCACCTGGAATTCCATAGCAATGGTCTAGCAACACCCTAGCAACCACCTGGAATTCCATAGCAATGGTCTAGCAACACCCTAGCAACCACCTGGAATTTCTCAAACGTGCAAAACCAAACTTTTATCACTTTTTTATATATAACAGTTTGAAAAGTTTTACAACAGTCTACAGCCCAGTCCATACAAAGATACCAATCCATACAGTCCATATAAAGACTAAGCTGCAAAAAACAGCCTATTTAGAATGAATTTTTTGGTGTTGCTACAAAAACCAACACATTTATATTTATTTATGTCTATTAAGCCTACAGCAGTTTAGCTCCGCCCCTTTACACTGAAGTTATAAGGAGTGTTTCAGCCTGGACTGCTTTTTGAATGAGGCAGCCAATCAGAACAGAGCTCATTTACATATATCAGACGTAAAGGTAATAAAAGTAACAAAAACATAATGTTTAATTGTGTGGGATGAAGAGAGGTTGGAAAAATGGACAAAAAATCATGAAAATAATTTCATGAGGTAAATTTCCTTTTTAACAATATTTAGCTAATCTTGTTGCGCGCAAGCATCAAAAAAAAAAAACTTAATGCTAATCAGCCATCTCTGTAGTGCTAACTTTATTTAACTTGTTAGCTTTTTAGCAGCCACACACTGAACGAATGCACAAAGACTGCGAGGCTGTGTCTTCCAGAGCATGGTGGAAAGAAAGAATGGCTAAATGCACTAAATGCATGTGCACTTGATCTGATACTCAAATACTTTGCACTTGTTTAAACTATACTCACGGAAATGGTTGCACATGATCAAACACTGTTATGATTTGAACTTGAAAAGTGTCAATGCAATGTAAACAGCATATAAAGCCATTTTCTCCAGGGCCATTTTTTGCTCTAGTGATATATGCAGTCACAAAGGGGGCCCAGAGTATATACTTTTGAAATGTATTCAATACCGTTTGCAATGATTTCAGAGATTTTCTTATCTTTTCTTGTTGTTTTTGTATACACCAGAATATTGGGTGGCTTGGGGTTTGCTCCCAAGTAAGACATCACATGAAACCGCCTAAACGTTCAATATGAGGTCTGAGCACTATGA